TATTCTTCAATTATACACGTAACCAATATTTTATTTTATTTTTAATTTAACTTTGCAATTATACAACTACATTACAATGATAGATGAAATGATACGCCCACAGGAGAAAGCGCTTAGGCCAGTCAACAAAAGAAACAAGCAAAAAAAAAAAATTTTTTTGTATACAATTATTGAAACCCCGGAATACGATGATCCGAGGTGAAATCTCTAGAAAGAAGAAGCTATCTATAAAAACTTAGAGTAGGAATGAAGATAGAGGAAATATATCGTAAAATTACATGCGCGTTATTCTATGGTTTATTGTGGATAATACGTTTCCGTTTCCGCAAATCGATCGTATGGATAGTAAAGTAGGGAAAGTATGTCGATATTCTCTTGGGTGAAATCACCGAGCGTCGGAAATATTTGATAATAAGGAACCATTGGAGCTTGAATCTGCGTTGGCACGTCCATGGTTGGTTGCGGAATTGGATAGGGTTGATGTTGGTGTCGTTGGTTTTTGTGGCGGTAAGTTGGAGGCTTCGTGCGAGCCGCCGGTTTGTACTTGTATCCTGGATACCTTACAGAGTGCAAATTTTGAACTTGCATTGCAAGCTTTTCGTATTGTTCTTTCTCGTCCGGCGTGGCACTCCTCCAAAGCATTCCGGTGACCTTACTTATGACTCTCATATTGCATATTCCATGTTGTTTTGCTTGTTTGTGCACGTTCTTTCTGCATAACAAAAAGCCATTCGGCGGTCTCGGTATCCCCGAGGTCTTGGCCTTTGACGGATTGATCAATTCTTCGGGACTGTTATAATGAGGAGGAAATATCATGTTGCGATTAATCGAATTCATTAATAACTGCGCCGAATCGTTCAAGGAGGTATTTTCGATGGTCTCTGTGACAACCATTGTCGCGGATGATTTGTGAGTGAGGTTTTTTCTTTTTTATTATGTTAAGGTGAAAATCGTATTCGGATTTTTTTTTTTTTTGTAAGGATTTCAGTGTAGCTTAAAGAGAAACAAAAAGCAGACCTTCACACGATAAGTTTTTGAGAGGGTAAGAAAGAAATTGCTTGAAACTTGGTTTGGGTTTATATAGATTTTTGGAACGGAGAAATATTTCCACAATTCAAAACTCATGATGCAATTAATAAATTAATATACTATTATA